TACTGTTACTAGAAGGCAGACTGATAGAGATATTTACCACTCTTTCATAAAACATTCCCACCGGGTCACGGGCAGGCCACTCGGGGCGTGGGAGAGCGTCAGGCAGGGAGTGGGACCCGCTTCCTAGCCCATGTTTTCCTCACTTCGTCCTCAGTAAGGACAGAGTGGGGTGGGCAGGATCTGGAGCTGAGCGCCGGATTAGAACAGCATTCCTGGCCCTTTCCTCTGAAGATTCTGTTCAGGAGGACTGAACTGGGTTCCCAGTGACCCCGAGGGCGGGCAAGTTTGGGAGCCTTGGAGCACAAGATCTTCAAGGCCCCTTTTAGACCCATGCTCCAGAGCCCAGCTCGCAGGGACCACGTGCACACCCCTCATTGGCCACCAGAGGGCGGGCCTGAGGCGCGGCAGCCAGAGCAGGCGCCCTGTGCTCCAGCAGGGCAACGGCCCCAGGGGAAATCTGCAATTACACAGAGAATGGGGTTCAAGTGGGCTAATGCGGGGGTCCCTTGGGAGGCGCGTGCGCTAACTGGAGATCAGAGGAGAAAACCCAAGTCGACCAGATTCTGAGAAGAGCGCGCTTTCCTCCGTGCCCTGATGTCTGGTGGGATTTGGACAGGGGAGCCTCCTGTCTTTATGCAGTGGGAATGTCTTCAGGACCCTTTGAGAGCCCAGCAGGGGCGGCCGCAGTCCGTCCAGTTCTAGCCTAAGCGGCGCCTGGCTGAGAGCGCCGGTCGGTGCTCACCCTCGGTGGCCACCCCTGGTGAAGGGTGCACGCCCTGGGGAAGGCCGCGGGCAGGTCCTGGTGCATCAGCCCTTGGCCGTTCCTTCTGCAGTCTCTGCCCTTCAGGGTCACACACACAAAGAAGACGATCTCATGGCCTGATTCCATCTGCAGCGAGGAAGGCATCACTTCCAGCTCAAGCGTCCTAGTCAATGCCCTTCATTTTTGGCAAAGAAGGATTCCGGCGCCTTCTCTCCACTGCCGCATCCATTGTACCCTTCTCCACAGGCTGCAGTCGAGGCCACAGCCCTCGGCGTCGGACTGCAGCAGTGCAGGCGCCTGGGGTTTGCTCCTCTTTGGCATCCCTCAGCTCTGTTCTTCCTGTCAGCAGTTTCTCTTTTGGAGTTTCCCTACTGGTGACATTCTGAACATCGCACATCCCCAGGGGCCCCACAGAAGCAGAAATGGTTATTCCTGCCTCCCAAAGGGGGAAGATGAAACCAAGAACAGTGAGGGGCTGGCCCGGGACAGAGCATGGGCCGGGCAGATGCTGAGGAACCGAAAGCAGACCAGGCACCCGAGCATCGCAGTGACATCCTCGTCTCCCCACCCCGACTTCCTGGCAGGTTGTAGATGCCAACGTGTTGGAGATCCGGCCTGGGTGTCACCACTGGTCTGTCCACCCTGCGTCCAGTCCTTCTTGAGCCCCCACATCTGTCCAGCCCTCTGTAAGGATAGGGATGAGTAAGACTATTGAAGGAGTGCTTATTTTCCATGAGCTCAAATTTTGAATGGAAGGAAAATGATACTTAGGAAATTGATACAATGGGAAAAAGAGTTGGGAAAAAAAGTTAAGGTGTAGGTGAGCGTTGTACAGGTTATGTGATCTAATGGTGTAATATTCATGTACAAGGAATAATGGGGAGGGCAGAGAAAAGAACAATTTTAGAAATGGTGCCAAGAAAAAATTATTAGAGACGCTGAGTATGACTCTGGGTTTTTCTGTAGGATTGGATGCTCTCTCCTCATGTCATGTCAGGCTCGGTGGTACATGGCCGTTTTGTTAGGGGAGGTGTAGCCTAATATCTAGGCAGCTACAGCCCACGAAGAATAACAAGCTGCCGTATAACAATGTTCTCTGTAGTTTCAGGGGCTTGGCGAAGGGAAGCTGGCTGCTCAGAAGGAAGACCCAGCAAAGCTACCGGGGCTAAGAGAGAGGCCTGAGTCAGGGATTTTTTGACATCAGAACTCGCCATGGTGGTGATGCGCACCAATCTTTTGTTCTCGCGATAGCAAGGACGGCACTTATTTATGCACCAAATGTTGAGGCATATGCTGGGGCCCAGGCGGTGTGCTGGTTGCTGGAAGGAGAGGCATGATCTGATTAGAAGAAATGGGCAAATCATTACAGTAGATGGGGCATGTGCTATAATAGAGGCGAATACGGGAAGGAGTGCTCAAGGCTTTGCAGGGTGGGGAGACTTCATAGGGGTGACATTTAAGCTCAGTCTTACAGGGAAGGGGTTACAGAGAGCCGCCTAGGGCAAGGCATATAGTTTCACGGGGCAGTGAGAGGTTAGCTCTGACGCTGTGGGTATGTGTGTGTGTTTGTGTGTCTGCGTGCACTTGCTGAGCAAGGGGACAGGGTGGGTGTCCAGGGATGGGAGATGAAGCTGCAGAGGAGGGTGTGGTCAGATTCTGATACAGCACCTGGCTAGAACTCACTCCTGCTCACACATCTGCCTGGACCACCCAGAATGCCCGAGACGTTACCATGTCATGCAACGACTGTCTCATGTAGCTATCACATCTTGCTCTTTCCTGGTGCTGGGGAAGGAGTGTGGGAAGGCCGGGGTTTCGGAAGGGGTCATGAGTGTGGAATGGGCGATCTAACAAAGCTTTTTCATGTTGGGCACACATTTAATTTTTAAAAATTCAGAAAAGTCACCCCCGAGAAAAGGTTCAAATATTAGGTTCATGAATAATGATTTGTAACTTTACAGGACATTTGCACTGAGAGTTTTTCTAAAGTGAGTGTAAAAAATATAGTTCATGTTTTTTAACAAGTTAATCAGTGCAGAGTGGATGGAAAATACTCCCCCAGCCCTTTTTACTTTTCTGAATTGCATTTAGCAGTAAATACGGTAAGAAATGCAGATTGCAGAAAGTTCTTTTCTTTGGTCAGTTAAAACTTTCTTCTATGTGCCAAATACTCTCTTAGGCTCTAGTCAGAACAGACAAATCAATTTAAACCTTACATCTTTGGATATTTATGAGTGGAAATGTCAATTATCAGGGGTTAAGAACATCCTATTAATGACTGTAGAAGTAAGACCAAGGCAAATGAAATTGACACAAAAGCTCTTGCAAGCTTTTATTACAAAAGAAACTATTCCGTGGCAAACTGGTAAATAACCAGATATATTTAAATCCATTAGGATCAAGCAATTTAGGAGTAGGAAAATATAACAAGAATGCAAACAATATAATTAGAGGTTATTTTGTTTTAAATTAATTTGATTCCCACTATATACTTGCTTGCCAAGTGGTATTTTTCTTAAGATCTAGTAGGACACTCCCTCCCCCCAGCTGGAACCTACTGTTGGCTTTCACAGGTAGGAAGGCACATTTTATGCTGTCTCAGACTTGCGACTTTAACCATTGCTGGCTGACACCAATACTTGCTGACATCAACTCACTTTGCTCCTTGCACATCAGATAGTTGGAGGGGGAAGTGCTTCTGCTTCCTTTTCAAGATGCACAGCTAACTCGAGCTTGAATGAATTACTCAGTGGTGAAGCCTGCTGCACACGCCACAGTGCCTTTCTGGGACTTTAGATTTTCCAGGATTAGGAGCGGAAAGGGTCAGTTTGACACCTTCTTTGAGTCTTGAAGGACAGACAACCTCCCAAAGTGGCCAGAGTAGTCAGGTGCAGAAAGACCCCGGAACTCAGGCCCACAGTAGCCTGCGGAATTATTCTGTATTTATCTGGTTAATCTTTGTTGAGCAGGTGTGAACCAATTAAATATTCTTTTTTTTTTTATAGCTGTCCCATGGCTTAGATTACATAGGGATCTATGTACTGTTTGACCTCAAGCAGAGAAGCCCAAAAGCCATGGGCCAGTCCAGATGTTTGTCATTGCACCTGCTTGGGCTACCTCCAAAGGGGTCCCCACCATCCCCCCCGGTAGATTCCCCAGGATCAACTGGACCAGATTTTTTCTTCCGCAGGAATTCTGCAGTTAGAGCATCACAACACGGTTTGGACGGGCAAGGCCAAAAACTCCCAGGCCTGTTGGATCGCTAGGACGATGAAGAGGCCTTGAATGCCTTTTTAAATGACTAGACTCGGGGGACTCAGGAATCTCGTGGTGTTTTTAACTCTGATTCCGGAGGGTTTCTCCTTGACTCAGTTTCCCTTTCCTTTGGGATTTATAATCTCTCCTTTTCTCTCGTTCCTCTTCTTCCCAGCTCACGTGCTCGCTGTCGTCTACTGACGCCCTCATCCTTAGGGCTCCTTGGTCGCTGTAACACCAGCAACTTTCCCGCAATGGATCTGCGGGCACCGGCGAGATGCGCCCCTCGCCCGCCCCACGGTGGGCCCGACTGTTCCAGAGTGCGAACGGGGCCCCAGATTAGGCCGTTTTTTTGTGCCCCCTCCCCCCAAGTTCCTAGTGGCCTGAATGCACAAAACGAAGTTTCAGGGAGGGGTTTCCCATACCAGCAGCCCCCACCCCAAGCCGCCCTTCCCTAAAAGCGCTTCCTGCGGGCTTTCATTTCCAGCAGCCACATAACGGCGCCCGCGCCCCCCTCCCGCCCCCGGGGCAGGCGCCCCTTTCGGTCCGGGGCTGCCGGGCGTGGCCGGCAGGGCGGGGAGAGGGCCCCGCGCCCTCCCGGGCCGCGCGGCGCCGGCCGGCGGAGCAGTCGCGCGCTCGCCGCCAGCGCGGCCATTGGCTCGGTGCAGTCACCCCACGCGGGGCTGCAGCGCGGCCTCCGCGGATTGGCGCGCGCGCGGGCGAGCGCGTGTCGCACCGCAGCCCCGCCGTCTCGGGGTGCCGCCCCCTCCCCCCGTCCGCAGCGACCACCCCTCCATTGTCCCCGCGGGGCGGATGCTGCGTCTGGGGCCACCGCCAGCCGCAGTCCCCGCCGCCCGGGCCCGAGGAAAGCGCGCGAAAGGCGCGCGCCCCGCGCGGGCGCACGCGGCGACCGCCGCCCTCGGCCGCTGCTGCAGCATTTCGCGCGCTCGCGCCGCGCCCCTGGCCGCCTGCGCTCATTTGCATATCCCGCGGCCGCGGCCAATCGGGGCCCGTCTCTCTCGCAGCGGATGGCTTCTGCCTGAGAGGAAAGGGAGTGGCCGGCGGCGCATGCGCCACGGTGGCCGCCTTGAATCGAGGCTTTTATTGCTGTAGTTTATTTCCACCCCCTTCCCTCCTGTTCTCTCTCTGTCTCTCTCTCTCCTTTTTTTTCCGCCCTAGCTGGGGCTGTGTTGGAGGAGAGGAAGAAAGAGAGACAGAAGATTGCATTTGTCCCTTACGATCCTGAAATCTGCTGCCAGCAAGACCAGCTAAGCGGTTGCACATTTTTCAATTCTGCGAAAAAAAAAAAATATCACGTCTCCTTTCCTGGCAATTTTTGCTTTGAAGCTGCCCTCTTGAAACTAATTTTTTTTTCCCAGGAGAGAGATGTCTTATCAGGGGAAGAAAAACATTCCACGCATCACGGTGAGTTTGGTACTTGGGTACTCCGCGGCGGGCCAGCGACCTTTTGTGGCACAGAATTTTCTTAAAAGGAGAAGGAAGGAGGGGGACCCAACTTTTTTTTCTTCTGTCGCTAACGGAGGCGATGGTGGTGGTGATGGGGTGGCGGGGACGCAGGGAGGAAGGATCTGGAACCGTAGCCTTTGCAAGGCATCGAAACAGGGCGTGCGTGCGCGGAGGTGGCCGTGGATAGCGCGCCGGGTCCGCCGTGTCCTTCCATTGTCGCCGCGAGATGCTGCGGCGCTGCCCGCGGGCGCGAGCAAATGGAAGCCAGACTGAACGTGCACGCTCGGAGCTCGGATATTGTTCTCCGGGCTGCGTGCTGCGCGGCTGGACTTCTCCAGCCGGGGAGGTGGGGATGGATCCTCCCCGCGTCTCCCGCCCCCACCATAAGGGGCTTTCTGGAGCCTTCTCCGGGGCTCCCCAGAAAAAGGAGCGGGTTCCAGCCCGGAAGCGTGCTGACAGCAGAGGGATGCTGAAAGGGGCAGGGTGTCCCGGAACGATGGGGGAAACGGGCAGGGAAAACGGGCGCGCCGATGAGCAGAGGAGGCAGGAGGAGGGGGCCCGGGCGGGGGCTTTTTGTTGACCGGGGGCCGGTTTTCGGTGGCCCTCTCGGTGTTCTCGCCCTCGGGTTTGGGGCTGGGGCGCTGGCAGGGCTCTGGGCTCGCTTTCCCGTCCCCTCTGTCCCCGCCGCCGCCAGGGAGGCGTCCGCGTCGGCGCATACAAAGCGCTGGCGGGTGGGCGCGGGGACCGCGCGAACGGCGCCGGGGAGGTAATGGCGCTGCGCGACGCGCGAGCAGATGGCCCGGCCCGGCCAGACAATGATCGCAGCGGCCCGAGGGTCTGCGCGGTTCCGGGGCCTGGGCTTGTTGGTTTGGAAATCACGGGGGCAACATCTGTGCCGTGAATTCGCGATGCCTTGGGGATGAACGTCGCTTCTCGCGCCCACCCTCCTCCCTATCTTCCTGGAGAATCTCGCCAGTCCTCGTCCCTGCATCCCCGGCGAGATCCCGGGCAGGGAGAGGGACGCGGGGAAATTCATTGTTATGTAATGATGTGCAATCCGTTGCAGCCGGCAGGCTGATTCCCGGGTGCAACCGGGGGCTGAGGCAGAGATTGAAAGAATCTCTCAGTCAAGATGTGTTCTTAGGGCTGGGTTGGAGGGCGGGCTTTCGCTCGTGTTTTCACTTTAGCCACGGGCACCCCGGCTCCCCTCCCTTCACAAGGGCACGCCCGCAGGAGAGAGGTGCGGGAGCAAATGCGCAGGGGAGGGGGCGTGTGCTCGGAGGATTTCCAGCCTGAGCGGGGTGGTTCTGCAGCGAGAGTGGGTAATTAGCTTTTTCTCGAAGGCAAAACACGCAAGATCCCAAAAGGCTGGGCACGGGGGACGCAACCTTAGGTGTTCCCCGCGCTGGAGGAAGGAGTGGGGTGGGCAGATTTGCTGCACGCCTCAAATAATTTGCTGTGTTCGTGAATGAACAAGTCAGTTTCGTTTTGACAGTGTGGGGAAGAAAAAAAATTTTTAAAAGCAAACAATCAACAAGAGCAATTTTTAAAAGAGCGCCCCCTCCATCCTTTTTAAAAACAATCTGGCTGCATTATCATAGGACCTATAGCATGGTGTCTCTCCCTCCACAAGCATGGCCAGCCTCTTATGTAAGAGCCTTCTGGAAGGCACTAGAGTGAAGGCGACTATGATGTTTCGATTTTTTTCCTGGCATGATGTTCGCTGGGGAGATTCGAGGTGATGGCTGGGCCAGGTACTGCAAGGACTAACAGGGCAGGTGGTGAAGGGCACAGCTTCTCCTTGCCTCCCAGGTGACATTTATCCTGTAAGAAGCCCAGAGATCTGGAAGAAAAGGGAGGATCATTGTAGACAGAGGAAGGTGCACTGAGTCAAGTGACCTGAGCAAGTGGCTTAAGCTCTCCCAGCCTCAGTTTCCTTATGTGTCATGGGACTAGAATCTGGCCCCATCCACCTCACAGATTCCTTTTGAGGCTCCTATGGCGTGATATGCACGACAGGGTTTTGTAAAGGTCTTTACATTTACATTATACAGGTGCAGGAATTATTGTTGACTATTATCATTGTGGCTTTCCAAAGTCTACAGCAGCATGAAGGACCCTACAGTGTACACATTGAAATGATCTTATTGTTTTTCAGTATGTTAGAGAAACAATACTTTCTAAACCCAGGTGTGTGTGCATTTATGTGTCCTTTTTTTTTTTCCTTGCTGTCCATTAGCCTATATATTTTTAAAAAAGATTTTCAGTGACTTCCTTTTCTTGGTAGCTGCTAAATATAAGTAGCATTTGCTGAGAGTATTGTTTTGTAACTGAATTTTAAACTGTCAATATGAATGCCATTCTTTGCAATGTGTTGCATATTAAAATGGCACTACATGGTTCAGCTTGTAAGGTTTAAACCCAGTCTGGAATAATACAGGTGCATATTTACTGAACATACAGTTTTAACATCGCATTCCATCAGCAGCATTGGGAATACTGATGAGTCATAATGTAGCATTTCTGTTACATTCTTGGCCCTTATGTAGTGCCTGCCCTTTATTTTTTTTTTTGCACAAATATCACCAATTAAAATATAAGTGCATCAACAATCTGTTGTGGTTTTAGACTTTAGAATTTGCCATCTCATATACTTTATCATAAAATGTTACCTTTTTTTAACAACTTAAAGTGGTGTACTTTTTGTAGTCTTTTTTTCCTCCCTTTTTGCAACACTTGCTGTGATTTACCTCACAGACTAATGCAAATATAAAGGACATACTGAACTGAAACCTTGTTACAGTTGAACCAAGTATATTTGTGTAGTGTATCCCATGACAACAGACTTTTGGTCAATTTTCTTTGACACAAACCTTGCCAAGATGTGGCTTTCCTATATGTGGGTGTATTTTTTTTTCTTAGATGAGGTTTAGCCAAAAGTCGTATAAGAAGTATTAGCTATTATTTTCTTTATAAAAAATGTTTTCACTGTTCATCAATGGGAGCTTTTTTTTTCTTTGCTTTCAGGTCTAAGGTGTAATTGAAAGAGATGTTCATTTATCTAGGAAGAGCTTTAAGCTTTGCCAGTGTGTTCTGACTCATCAAGTGGTAAATAGGTTGCTACATAGCGGTTTACCTTTGTCACGAACCTTTCCAAAACTGGCTCATTTTGAACATCACTTTTGAATAGCGAACATGTGTCCTTAACTTATTTATCTTAGTACTACTGTTTCTCTTGGGTCATTTATGCATTGTGACCTTACTACCTCTTTGTTTCAGAGTGATCGTCTTCTGATCAAAGGAGGTAAAATTGTTAATGATGACCAGTCGTTCTATGCAGACATATACATGGAAGATGGGTTGATCAAGTAAGTGTAACTCTTGATATAGAGACATACTTGTACACCTGCCAATAACTTAGTATCAAGCTTTAATGACATCAAAGAATAACCAGTTAATATCTGTTTTAAACCCATTTTGCATGGTGGAAATTAGTGAATTTGAAAGCTCAGATTTAGGGAATTCAAAGCAACAATTATGTGCATGCCCATTTCATTATGTATTATGTAATTTACTATTTTTAACTGAGGTGACACAGTATCTTCTTGTTGCCACATCAACTACTTGGTTTGTGATATGTTGAATATATTAAAGACTTCCTAGAATGTAGTTGTTGGGGATGGATTGCCCAATCAAAGCACACAGAGATGGAATACAGCCTCTTCTATTAAGATAGCACATCTGCTTTCTTCATCAAGAATCCAAGTTGGAGAGGCCAAAGAAGGATATCAAGTTAATTACCAAGTAACACAGACAAATTACTGCCTAATCCTGGGGGAATTTTAGGTTTCATTCTTTAAGTGGCAACTAGCACAAATGAGACTGCCCTTGTGTTTATTGTGTGTTATGTTACAAAGGACAAACAACAGAGCAGTTACTGACTTTGGGTGTTTTGGGACCCTAGAGGGTTAAGTAGGCTGAGTACATACCAGCATCCTCGGGCCCTGCCTGCTGGGATGGCTCACAGGGCCCGGGAGAAATAGCACATCTGTTTAAAGACAAACACTGCAGCGAATGACATCTTTTAAATAAGCAGCATTCATCAAGTGCTAGCAGCTAACCAGTCCGGAGGAGTGGAAAACTGGGGTGGATAGGACTATTGCCTGGAAGCTCACGCCCTGATTTATGTACCTAAAATAGGTCTGAACATTTCCACATTTAATGTTTTCTCCATGTGTGTTTGCTGTGACAGTCTCAGCTCTGGGCTCTCAACTGCCATGACTTTCATGTTCCATTTTCCCCCAATTATAAGGCAGCACGATCGGGTCTAGCCGAGAGACACTGGCCTAGAAATGTCTCTCATAGACTTGTATACTATTTTTAGTCATCACTCATTTGTTCTAGAACTTTGTCAACTCCTCCTTGATTAATATTCTTTTTCAAAAAATTGGTAGAAATATATAGTAAAAATATTTTTTTAATTAGAAATGAATCATGGCCCCTAACAGAATGAATATTCATTTTTCTGCCTGTATTATCTAATTTGCGAGCAAATGCTTCCGAATTTTTGACTCATTGCAATCATAGTGTTCCCTTTTTTTTCTTTTTCTTTTTGGCTTTGTTTTGTTCTACCCCCACCCTTCTATCCTTATTGTTTCTCTAAGTGAAAAAGGATATTGTGAAAATAAATGTTTGGAAAGCACAGCCAGGTCTGGAAAAAAATTGCTATATGATAATTAGCTCCACTGTGTGTGTTGTAAAGAAAGTTTAGTGACATTTTATATAACTATCTTGGGGCTTGGTTATCATTTGATCTTAGGAGTTTCTTGGTAACTAAATCTCTTTGAATGGGGCCTCTGATGCCTTATTTAAATTTTGCTTTCTGCTGTACTCTGCCTTGCCTCTTAGTTGGGGTAGGGAGTGGGTAGTGCTTCTGTTATGAGTCATAACAGTAATCCGAAAAGCCCATGGCTCGTATTGAAGAATGGTTGATAGGTTAGTGAAAGTAGCTGTCAGATCCCATTTGATTCCACGTTTCATTCACAACCTTTATTGCCCACCCTGTTTATTTAGGCAAATAGGCGAGAACCTGATTGTGCCAGGAGGGGTGAAGACCATCGAAGCCCATTCCCGGATGGTGATCCCGGGAGGAATTGATGTCCATACGCGTTTCCAGATGCCCGACCAGGGAATGACGTCTGCTGATGACTTCTTCCAAGGAACCAAGGCAGCCCTGGCTGGAGGAACCACCATGATCAGTAAGAGGCCCACGTGGCACCTTTGTGGTGCTTAGGAACTGTGGTCGTTTGAAAATCAGTCTGTGTTGTTCGATTCTTTCCTTCCAAAAGTTGCTAAACTGAGCAGCGGTTTGATCTACCAAGTAAGGGGGTGAGGATTTGTCAGCCACTTCTCTTATTTCATTACGCTCATTTGCTGTCAAATTGCAAGTTCTCCAGCTGAACTGGGGAATCGGTTCTAGGAAATTTGCGTAGGATAAGAGGAATGGCTTCTTGCTTTCTCTGCTTGAGGATTTTCCTTGGCCTCCAAATGTAATTGGGTTGTGAAAACACAGCATTTGGAGTCATCTTCAAGGCTATTGGTTTTGAGCTTTTGCTCATAAGTACTTGATTTTGATTTTTTAAAAAATTCCCAACAGAATTTCTTTTCAGAATGGGGATGGGGTGCAGCAAATGAAATGTTGAACGAGGAACCTCTGTCCCACGGATATGAAAATCAAATGGGAGAAGGGATATTTCTAGCCTGGGTTGGATGTAAAAGGAATTGGGCAGCCCTGCCTGGAGGGGGACCCACAGATAATAACTGTCCTTTAGATATGACAATTCCAGCACCCACAGCTGGGTTCACGGGTGCCCCTTAAATATCACACCAAGGGCTTTGTGCTTTTTGTTCAGGCTAATCTAAACCGTATTCACAGAACGCAGCACACGTGCTACAAGTTTGCTTGTGAACCATCAGATTCCAGCGTGCCTACGGATTGTCCTTTTGACAAATGTCATTTTGTTTTTGAGGAGGTGGACAAGCTGCACAGTGGCCCATCAGATATATATTTTAAAAAATAGATTTTATCCAAGAGTGAAAGTCAACACAGAGTCTGTCGTATACAAAAAGCTAACAAGTTTGGTTCAGAAGAGGGTCTAGGTAAAAGGAACTCAGCTATTTCTGTTTTAGAAAAAACTATTTTGCTGGTTATTTTTCAGAGTGATGGCCTTTTTACCTGTGGTTTTGGGTCTTTCCAGAAGCTTCTCTTGGCTGAGCTAGAGGAACAATGCCCTGCCTCGCCTACGCCCCCCACTTGGAGTTCCCCTGCATTGTAAATCATTCGCTCACCCTCTGGGTCCTCTATTCTGGTCTTCAGTGTCTGAAGCGTCAGGGGCCTCCAAGCATGAGCCTTGTGATTTCTGTCCCGCTGCACAGGTTGCCTTCTGACCTGGTGGGTGCCATTCCCAAGGCGGCCCTTCGTGCACACCCTGGGACCAGGCTAGTACACCAGCTTGCCCCTTTGTCAGTTGTTCAGGACTCGCTGGCACCTGTGGGCATTTCTGCCCCTCCCCAGGGCGGGCTGTGGAGTAACAACTCCTGGAGCACAGACTGCTTGGTGTCAGCTGGGAAGGCCAAGTCAAGGTGACAGTCTGCCTCAGTGTGGAGTTCATATGGAGGTCCTGTAGGTCCCTGCATTGGTCACAGAGGTTCAATAAGCCACAAATAAATATTTCCTGAGTGAGTGGTCAGTGATGTCTATCACTGGAGGAGGAAATGCCCCCAACCAGGAGTCGGGAGTTCTGGTCTGACACTAACTTGCTGTGTGACCTTGAGCAGGTCACCTCACTTCTCTGTGCTTTAGCTGTGCATCTGCACCATGAAGGGTTTGCATTAGATGACCCCGGAAGTCCTTTCCAGCTCCCACATTCAGTCATTCCCTGAGGTCAGAGAGAGATTTTGCCTCTGATCAAATGTACTTTGCTCAGAAGATGCAGAAAGGCCGTTTTCTCTCTGATTTGCTTAAAAGAACCTGTGAGTGTGTGTTTTCTCCACTCCTGGGTCCCTGAATGTGCCTCTTCACTCCTCACACCTGCCCCATGCTTTGGCTCCTCCATCTGCTTTTTAACCCTTCCCTGCCTTCCCTCCCCTACCACGGGGCCCAGCCTTCTTGCTGCTACCCTGACTTTTGCAGTGGTTGTGGCCTTCTCCCCATTCAGCCAGGTGGGCTCCTTCTGTGTGGGGCGAGGGACATCTTTATGAGTCCCACACCTGGCCCAGGGAGCCCAGAATAGTCAGCAGATGGCCTTGTGGGCAGATGGTCAGGAAAGGGGAGGGAAGACACAGACCGCCTGCCCTGCTTACTCGGACAGTGCGGTGGCATCTTCCTGTGTGCTCCGTGATGCAGTCAGGCTGAAGAGTGGGGTAGGGGTGTCTAATGAGCAAACCTCAAAGGATAAAAGTAATCAGAGGTGGCCACGTGTGGTCAGTTGTCACACCTAAACTCCAATGCTTTTGTAGTCTGAGAAAAATATTAACTACTCTTGCAAATAACCAGCCATGGTTACTGCCCTCATAGAATTTCTGCCAGCCTGCCCTTCCTTCCGGAGGTGAGCAGTAATGATACAGATGAGGAAATTAGGAATTTTTTGTCTTTTTTATGCTTGCTGGTCATGCATTCTGCATTGCTTAGAATAAGCGAGTGACTGGGGCTTGCTTCACAGAGAAGGCCTTGCAAAGAGACAGCACTTGGTGCAACCACTTGCCCTCCAGCGAGATTGTAGCTTCTGTGATGCCTATTGAGTCTAGAAAGAAATGCCGAGGGCGCTTTGAACAGATTCGAATGACCACCTCACATGCCCACTGCTGTTTGCCGAAACAAGCAATTGAAGTAAATTGGCACAAAGACCCCTGTGCCCTCCTCCCTCCTGGCTTTCTGACTTGCTCCAGGCCATGTCCCTGCGCTCACAGGTGACTGTTCACCCGCCTCCTTGCTGGCTGCGTGTTTCCCAGGTCACAGGCTCTGGAGGCTCCATTTCTGTCTGAGATGGCACTGCCCGCAGAGGAAAAATGCAGCCGAATGTTCCCCGTTTAAAAAAGGAGATAGCACGTCAGCAGCAGAAAATAATATTATTGCCATCAAACAGAGGCTGGTATTGAGACTCGCACAACAAGAGCTTTGTGAGGGGGACTCTGCGGGGCAGGAGGAATGCCCTCTGCCCTTTCCGCCAGTGGTGGGTGGGCAGAGACTCCAGACATACCCTGCAGGCGGCATGCAGCCCGGCCAAGGGGTTACGGGGGTGGCAGGGCTGCTGCCCGGAGAAAGCACTACGGACTTCGCAGAGGCTTTATGGTCATCAGAGGCGTTAGGACCCCAGAGTCTCCAGGAAGCAGGTGGGAACAGATAGCCCCATTTACAGAGGGGAAGACTGAGCCCAGAGGGACAGGCACTGCTTGCCAATTGCCCTGTGTGCTGGTGTAGGTGGCAGGCGTGGAACATACACCTGCAGCTCCGGCCCTATGACCTCCCAGCTGCACCACCTTTGCTTTCAGCCTCAGTTATCTCATCTGCAAAATGGGGAAGGTTGTTACAAAGACGGACTGTGGCAGCATCGGAACAGCAACTGGCTAGTAGTAAGCACTCAGATGTGGTGGTCACTGTCATTCCATCCTGCACTGGGTACTGTGACCTTCCATCTCATGTACACTGTTTAGAGCTCTGCTCTCCCGGCAGAGGCAGAGAAAGAGGCTCTAGCTGCCAGGGGCCGGGCCAGAGCATCTCCAAGAGAAGGGGTTCTCCAGGTGCAGCCAGTGGCGGCATGCCTCGGTGTCCCCGGGGGGTGCATCTTAAAACATTCCACTTCCTGGGGCCCCACCCAACCTATTAAAGTAGCACGTATGCTGGTGTGGCCTGTGAATCTGCATTTTAATCTGGTGCTGGCCCAGAGCGCTGGGAACTGTGTGGCAGGGTAGGTCTCAGGGGTCCGTGCCAGACCTGCAGACTCCGGACCTCCAGGGATATTGGGAGCCCCTGCTGTGCATGTCATTTCTGCTCACCTGAACGCAAGCTTTCCCTAGAGGGTGCGGAGCTCTGGGCACAGCACACCCCAGAGGGCTTCCTGGTGCGGCAGAGACCAGGACTGGAGCAGGAGAAGGGGAGGAGTGCTGTCCCTGCAGGGCTGGAAGGGGTTCTCCCTCCCAGACGCTAGACCTGTCACTTCTCTGGCTGCGGCTCCATCCACCTGTCCCCAGTCGGACTCCCCCTCTGCTCCCACATCCCTGCCGCCTTCCCAGCGCCGGGGCCTGGAGAGGCTGCCCTCGTGGTCGCACTGGCTGCAACCCACAGAGCCATCCTGGCGTCTTCCTGTTCTCGTGCCGCCTCCAGTTGCTTTTGTTCCATGTTATCTCTTGCACCTGTTTCTTTACCCCACTGATTCAGACCTTTGTCGGCCCTTACTGGATTTTTGCCCAGCCCTCTGAGGAGTCTCGGTGCCCCAGTCTCTGTCACCAGGCTCTTTCTCCGGCACAGCTTTGATCGTGCCATCTCCTCCAGAGCCTGCAGTGTCTCCCTCTTGCTCAGAGAAGTCACCCCGGGTATCAGAGCCCTCCACGACGGGCCCGGTCCCGCCACACTCACATTGTCACCCTCTCTTCATTTCTCTGCCTCCGGAAGTATTGCTGCGATTAGCAGCCCAGCATGGGTGCCCCCTGCTTCCTGGAGCTGCTCCCCAGCCCCCTTCCCTGCAGTCTCTGGAGGCTGCCTGGCACCTTGGCAAACACTGGGCATTTATCCCGTGGCCCTTGTGGCATTCAGCCTTGCATTGCAATTCAAGCCAGGCCCTCTGTCTCTTCCATTTTCCTATTCCCCACTCCTGGGGCAGTGTCTCCCTCCTAAGAGACACCCCGTTAATGCCCACCTGAGGGTGGGTGAATGAGTGGGTGAATACATACACCAACACGATTTGGTTTCCTGCTTTGTCTGAGTGATGCCAGAGGATGGAGTGTCGTGGGGAGGGAAGAAGGGTTTCTGTGCCCAACCCCAGCGGGAGCAGCTGCTTCCTCAGTGGTGCCCTCGTTTCTGCGGCCCCAGCACCCCCAGTCACTGTGGTGTGCTGTGGCAGGAGTGGAGGAGGATGGCAGGAGGGGAACGCCCAGAGCCACAGCGTGGCCTGTGGTTGTGGATGGTTGTGGACAGGGACAGCTCCCTCTGTCTGGGCTATTCTTCACAAGGGGGGGTGGGGACAGCAGCTCTCACACTGGT